AAGAGAGACACACAAAGTTTAAACAGAAATTAAATGAGCGTATCACCAACAGCGATGAAAGAAAAATAAAAAGGAAATCAAGCCAGCCATGGAAATAATCCAGAGAAGCCGGTGATAGCAATGAAGCCAACGGGACACATGGAAGCGGTTAGTTCCGGGCAAGCCACATACTGGAGCGCAGGGCCAAAGCAGGAGGGTAGGCTGTGGGCACAGAACGTGTTATCGATGGCACCTTTGTTCCAGGACATTGAGGACAACTCAAGGGCGGAGGCACAGGCTTCCACACCAGAGTGGGAAAGCAACACACTGACCTCTCCCCGAGGAGGGGAGCCCATTTCATCCTCACACCTCGTCTCTGAGGTCCCATCAGAGAGCCATCTTGAAAAGAGGAACTCAACAACCTTGAGCTTCCTTTAGCTGAACAGCGAAGGTTTTCTGAGAACCCCAGCAGTAGTTTTGCGGAATTCCATTTCATCCTTCAGATGTCTTAATGTTACTCATACTCCAGGTACAAACATGAGACCATAAACATCTCCCCTTCATTCTCTTCTGATGAGGGCGGTTCACAAACGCTATTAGAAAATAAGCACTGCACGATTTAACGAGCTGACCCCCAAACTCACTCTCTCCACACCATCACCCTCTTTTCTTCTCTCGTTTAAACTTCTCTAAGTGCAGAGCAACAGTCCCCAGATTCTCTACCTACTGGGTACATACATTTCTACAGAAGGTCCCCCATGAGTTTACGCCAGTGTTCTGTCCATGTTATCTTCAAAGACTCTGTGAAAATCAATAGTATGCCTCAGTAGTCCAGGATGATGGAACCCAGTTTGCCCAATTCAAAATTAGCTAACTAGCACTCTTGCCTTTATGCAAAATGACTGTCTTTCATAATTGCAAATGAAGTCAAGGGCACTAGTTGAAAGACTTCCCTTTTACACCAGTTATTTTACGGTTCTGATCACCTTCAATAGTGCTTCACAATACAGAACATAATGAAATACATCTGGTCTCTGTCTCTGTCTTTCTCTCTCTCTCTCTCTCTCTCTCTTTCTCTCTCTCGCTCTCGCTCTCGCTCTCGCTCTTGCTCTCTCTCTCTGCTAGGAAATTAGTAAAAAACCTAGACAAAAATCTCTATAACATTTTGTGTGGAAAATATTTGTTGGATTCCATACTCTGTGTAGACTCATATGTTCTAATAAAATAAGGTGTACTCCTTTGCCAATATCAGTTAGTGAACATATTTTGTTTTGTATATACTAATAAAATTGGGTTATTTTCTGGTAAATATGTTTCCTTTCATAATACATGTGGACAGAATGGCCTCATGAAGGCCTACTACTTAGTCTTCGCTCGTGGAGGCTCCTTGTAATTATTCATGTAATCATATCTAATTGGTTCAATATTTGTCCTGCACTTGCAATAAGACATCCTGGAAACATATTCTATATGACCTCTATATCCATGAGGTCTTACATAGCTGTTATTCTGTTAATAGTTTCCAAGAAACGTAGCAGACATAGAAGTTTAATGAAATGCACATGTGAGTCACGGATTCAACGTGTGATCATGTCTCAGAGACGATGCCAGGTACCGGGCATTCTGAGTGGAAAAGCCCAGGGCCTCCCCACAGAGCAGAGCAGAGAGACAAACACACAGATGAGAGATGCTCCACGGAGGCAGATGATTGATGAAAACAGCACCAAGAGGTACCACGACTGCTAGAATCAGCTAGAGGACGGTACTTGGAGGAAGTGATACATGAGCCGGGTTCTGCACTGTGAGCAAGGCTGGCACAAGAAAGGAGAAAGGGGGACCACTATGAGAAGAAAATCCAGGGGCAAAAGAAGGATGATGACGGAGAAAGGCTGCAGCTCCCCTGGGACAAAGAAGATCAGGATGAAGACGGAAAATAGGAAAACAATCTATGAAGATAAGGAACAGAGGCTTTCCATTTTGGGAATTCTCATTTGTATAGTAAAAAAGTCATCTTTCTAAAGAGGGGCAGCCAGGTAAAATGGGAAATAAATCTACTGTGAGTGCACATTAGCAATTTCTAATGAACAGGAGAGGTGGAATGCAGTAAGATCTGAGTGACGAACTGAAGATAGTCTCAAGGAAAGTGCAAGCTAGCCAGCTAGGTGTGCAAAAGTGGAGATGACTGAGGTGGCTTCAGGGACAGAGGCAGGATGAATGTGCACATGGGTGAGGAACAGACTCCATGAATGAGAAGGAAATACAAAGGCAGTAAAGTTAAGGTCTGGCTCTTAGTATGTAATCTGAGCTTGCCATAAAACCTCATTAAGGAAAAACTGTCAATTACAGTGTTTAAGGAATAGTCTAGTTTTGGAAAAGAGCTGAGGCTGAAGTCAAAGACCTGAGATTCAACATCCCAAAGAAAGAGCAGATGTGTGAGACACACCAGAATTCAGGGAAAAAAGAAGCAGTTATTCAGTGAACCACAGTGTTAAAATAGCAAGTCTTCCCAGGTAACATGGATGAAAGGAACCCAGCTCCTTACATGAACCAAGCAGCTACCATCTCTATATTGAGAACACATACACACACATACACATATAAATACACATAGTTGCACATGTATATACATGCACACACACACAAAGGCCTGTGACTTTGATACAAAAATTTTATGACACAGTAATATTTCTAGCAAGAAAATTTATACAGGGAAATTAAGCAAAAGAAACAGTTTTAGTTTATTAAACAAACAAACAAATAAATAAATAAAATGGAAAACGGATGGAAGGAGAGGAAAAAAAGGAAAGAAAAAGGAAGGCAAGAAGAAAGGGAAGCAGAGCAATAAAGGAGTAGTATGACATCTCTTCCATCACTCAGTGATGGACAAGTCTGAGAGAACCTCAAAGGAACAGACGGTTAAAGAAAAAGTCTTAAACTCAAGGTTGACTTTAAACTTGAAACTCTACTTGGCAATTCAGAGGAAGAAGTTAGATTTGAGAGAGAGCTAGAGAGAGAGAGAGAGAGAGAGAGAGAGAGACTGTATGATAATGTAGATACAATCTAACTATAGAAATGAAAAAAGATTATGGAGAGAAAAAGCCAGGCTTAGTGAATAAGTTTGACATGGTAACCAGGTTTATTCCTTTTTCTTCCAAAATGCAGTATCAGTACTGATTTCTTTTAAATATAGTGCTGAATAATAATTTTATGTATTTTTTCAAGTTTTATTTTTTTCTTAATGAATAGTGTGCTCTGAGTCCCACTGGATATGGTCTTCCGTGTCACATGAGGCTGATATGTTGGGAACACTTCCCCAGGTAGGAAGTGTCCGACTTTTATTAGATGAGGGTGCTCTTGGACATCTGTACAGTGGAATGCAAGAAATGTGTCATATGCCACACAGCCATGAAGACAAAACAAAACACTATGTGCGCTTATCTTGCATGTAAAGGAAGCCAAATGAGTCCTAATCAACAGGATTACATAAAGGAGACAAATTCTTTCTTGACAGAGCATAAAAGTTGTTTGAAACTGAACACTTGAAGAGGTTTACTTCTAAGAAGGTCATGAGAGCATGTTCTTCACTTGAGCTATAGCAAACTGATTAAGCTTTATTCTGTCCTCTCCACTGATGACCTATAAGTGACACGGGCACCTTGTCCACTGTACAAATTCAGAGGTAGCTTTCTATTCATTGGGTCTTAGGTTTCTGCTAAAACCAGTGTGTCATGATTTGTCTAACATATCTAGAAGAAATGTAAAGAACCGTGTACAACTGTTGACATCTTGTCTCTTTTAACACATAAACTCAACAGTTATGTCTTCGACCTAGAAGAAGGAAAAGGCAGCAAGGACAGAAAGCATCAGCAAATGCACCAAGAGCTTTGCCAGCTGCAAAGTGTAGATAAAGCAAGAACTGTCACCTCGGAGTGACTGGAGTAAACGGAAGCTCGAGGAAACAACCAGGCCAATGTTCCAGGAAGTCCAGACTCCAAGAACAGAGGAAGCGGACTTCTCACGCCAGCCTCAAACTTAGAAGCGGATGGCAAAAGCTGAAGTGCCTGGAGAGTGCTGTCTGGTGCTCTTCCTGCGCATATGCTGGCACGGAGGGAGGTGACGGGAGCTATGGCACCTGCGTCATCAGTTATTCTGGGAATTTGTGCAGATTCTCACCTTGACTTCATGAACACATGGCAAAGCATGCCCCTTCCTTGCAGGCACTGCCAGGAAGCCAGCCATTCCGTACAATTGGTAACCATGCATAACAGAAAGCAAACAGGAGGTGCACTTCTGAGGCCCCTCACTGTGACAGAGAATGACCCGAGACCCTAAAGTGACCTTAGGAATAGAGGCATGATATCTAGAAGATACTAAAAAAAAAAAAAATGACCCAAATCCTCTTCTCTCTCCAGCTACTTCTTCAAACCAGAGCAGACAATTAAGTCACCAATTTGAGTAAAGTTCACTAGAAAATGAACATATATCCTGTATTACCTATTCTTTATTGTCTTACCTTGAATCAGTTTATTAAAACACCTAAATAGAAAAGAGAGAATGTAGAAAGGAAGGGGTACTGGTGTTTAACAGTAGACACAGTGGGTTGAAGTAAGTATGGACAGTAGATGCTGTCTTGGAAGGCAAAACGTAGTTGATGCATCAAAGGACATGGGACCCCAAATTGGAAAGGTAGGGACCACTCACTGACAGGGAGGAAAAAAATGCCTCTATAAACAAAACTAAATATTAAAGCTAGTTCTTCTGAACACAATATACCCCCAAACAATTAGCAAAGTAAAACTGTCTATTTTATATACAGCAAAATTTACCAAAAAGGTCAACTAACTATAAGATAAACAAAGTGAGATTGTCCATGTTCCCGTGAGAGAGATCTAGGGCCTATGGTTCCTTCTTGAGGTTTTTTCTCTCCTTTCTAACACAGTGAGGTCCCCAGAGCATGCACATGCTCTGACATCTGCTTTCCAGTGTCTCCATGTCACCCAGGAAGGCAAGCACAGACTCACTCATTGAGCAAAGGCATTGAAGTTCTCCGCTTGCTCTTCTGTACCATGTTGGCCTGATTCCTCAAGGAGATCCGAATCATAGCAGGTGCCAACCTACACGGCTCCCCATCCACTTGCATGGGGATGGACTTGTAAGTCAGAAGCATGACTTCCCGACACTGGTGCAGCCTTTCTCCGTGGCCCCCGACTTGCAGGGCAGCCTGTCCAAGGAAGAGGAAGAGGAGCCAAGAGTCAGTGCTTAATACTTCAGGACATAATATTAAGAACCACTGCAGATAACCAACAGCCTAGGTTCCCATTGGTAACACTGATAAAACTCATTAGCCAAGACATCACAGCTACAAATAAATTCAATATGGAAAGCTTCTGAGGAAGTGTATCACGTATTCCCAGAGACGATCACTGTCCATTTCACACAGTATGAAGGTAAATATAGCTGTACCAGGAAAAAGATGAATCCATGTTTATATATCTTTCATTTGGGGTTGAATGCTATGCAGTGCGTGTGGAAGTCAGAGGACAGCTTACAGGCTTGCAGGAATGGATTCTCTCCTTCTACCTTGTAGGTCCCATTGGTAGAACTGTCAGTCAGGCTAGGCAGCATGTGCCTATATCTGTTGAGCCATCTTGACAGACCTCATGCAAGACTAATTAATACAAAAGGGTTTTTTTGGTTTTTGGGTTTGTTTTTTTTTTTTTGGTGTGTGTTATCTATTCTCATTAAGTAACTGATATCAGCATAATAAAAATAAATAAAAAGGACCAAACGCATACTTTACCAATTTCTAAATTGCATTTACTAATGCTTAAGTGGACAGCCTATCCTTGATTAATTTTTACGCTTGGGCAAGGGTTTTCTTTCTACCTAAAACCTCTCCAAACTATTTTAAATTTGTTTCAGTAAATAAAATGATAAAAATATATAAAGAAAAGTAAGTTATTCAATTTAAGACATTCTGGAAACTTGGAAATATCACATCTAATGCTATTATACTTATGAAATCAATTCTGTAAATAATTTAGAAAAACAAAGCCCCAAATATATTTAGAATAGTGTGAAAGAAGAAAAAAAGAATAATGGTTATTTTACCATCCTTACTAGACAAAGGATCAAAATACTTTTTAAAAACATGTCATTAAATTACCGATGTCTGCATACCCACAGGGATGATGAATGAAAATATACAGAGAAAACTACATTCATCTTTCTGGGGACATGATCTCGTGAATTTGACAATATAATTGATTGAGTTAATAATGCATAATTTAGTCAAGGGTGTTAGAAATACTTGTCAGTACATGTAGAAAAATATAATCAATGTAATACTCCGTATTATACACAAAGAAGAAAAATTAAATATATGATTCTCAAGCTGAAAGAGAAAGCAAAGTAGTTATCCTGTCTTCTACAGTTTGGAATGTTGCTGTTGTTGGTGATGACGTTTTCACTGTTTCTTTTTATCAAAAGAAAATGTTACTCTGCAACCAATCTGACCTTGAACCCTCCTCAATCCCCCAGCTTCAGCCTCTTTAGTATAGTTTAGTTGACTACTCTTTAGTACAGACCCGTACTGCCACACTAAGCATGACGGCTTGGCTCTTGAATGTCCGTTGAAGTCACATGTGTCAAATGTCTGGTCTCCATCCCATGGCTTTATTGGGAGATGGGGGAACCTTTAAGAAGTGGAGCCTTGTGGGAATAAGCTGGGTCACTGGTGTCACGTCTTTGAGGAGGTATCAGAGCCCTCCTCTGTTATTATTGTTTTTTCTACAATGTGTCCCTACTATGATGCACTGCCTTGGCATGGGCCCAAATACAACATCCAAGAGAACACAAACTCAAATTGTGAGCGAAAATAATCCTTCAGGTTAAAAGCCAATTTTCCCAGATATTTTGCCAGAGTAATGGCTAACTAACTTACCATCTCTCTCCTTTTCTTTCTCTTTTTTTCTTTTCTGGGTTTTTTTTTTTTTTTGGTTATTTTATTTATTTACATTTCAAATGTTGTCACCCTTCCTGGCCTCCTCTCTGCAACCCCTCATCACATTGCCCTGCCCTTTGCCTCTAAGAGGGTGCTCCTCACCCCCCACTCCTGCCTCACCTCTCTAGCATCCCCCTATGCTGGGGCATCAAGCCTCCACAAGACCAAAGGCCTCCTCTCCGACTGATGCCTGGATAAGGCCATCCAATGCTACATATAGGACAAAAAAAAAAGAAGCAGAGACTGAAAGAAAGGCCATCCAGAGACTGCCTCACCTTGTGATCCATTTCATCTATAGACATCTCTCTCCTTTTCAAGCAGCCTCCCCAGCTGTGGCTAAACCTCCCTAGAGGCCGTCCCTATCTCTATGACTCACAGGAACAGCTGCAGCCACAGGCCCACTTCTTGTGGAGTAAGTGACCTCCTTTCAGAATACTGACTCCGGCTTTACAGCCCTCATGACAAAGTCAACCAAGACCCTTCTCAGATTGCCATGTCTCTCTCCAAAGTTCTATCGTTTATCTTATGGCCTGGGTCCCTTAGGACTAATGCCACCATCTAATGTCACTCTCGTTCACGTACCAGAAGTGACAGGGACTGTGTTCACTTAATGACTGATGAATCTACAGACTGTCTGCTTTTCGGTTCCTCTGACATCCTCTCATTAACCTTCAACAGCCTCAACGAAACCAGCTCATACGGGTTCTCCCTCCCTGTCGAGCGATGCTAGTCAGAAAGGAAGAAATTCTACCTAGGTAATTCGTGGCACCAAGATTAGTTAGTTCACAGTGTGCCACACAAGCTTTTGCAATCATTCTCTTTCTATAGAGTAATATCATTAAGTTTCATTGCTTTTCCCCCAGGTCGTCAAGAATTAAACTTTGAACACCAGTGTGCTACAAAGTCACACTGGCTGCTGTTAGTAGTCTAAATAGCAATTGTAGCAGTAATACGTCCCCAATGAGTTGTCCACATAATTAACTACTTACAGAGAAACTAATCCTACTTCAGTTTCCTCAAATGTGGATGGTTTGGGTTTATTCCTATGATCTTTTTCTGTGCTATTAGTTTATGACTCTAGATTGTGCCTATAATTCAACAATATCATGTTATTAAATACAATCTCATCCCATTTACAATCATCATTCTGTATTTCTCTCTATCTGCCATAGAATTAATGTTTAGTCGTCATTGTCAAAATAAAGTGGGGCAATTAAAGAAAGGAAGGGAGTTTATCTGAAAACCCTCCTCCTAGTTATTGTATAAGAGATCCAAAAGTCACTAAAATTTACCTATAGTTTATTTACAAATTCCCTCTTAATGATAAGATAAAGACTGAAAAAAAAATCTAAGTACCCCTTCTCACTAAGAGGACTTGTATGTGTATGCCATTTTTATCCCTGTTCAATGGACACAGATTCCAACCAGTACCAACATAATGTCATGACCAAAAGAAAAACAGAAAAGAAAGAAAGAAAAGAAATAAAAATGCCTGAGTGATTTCATAGCCTTTAGAATGACACTAACCTGAGGTTCTATGGCAAAACTTCGGGAAAAATCTTTATGCCTTAAAGCTACTTAAAGAAATAATCATAACTTTAAAATCTGTAATATTCTGAAAGTTAAAATAGTGACAGAATCAACAATATATCCTGAGAAATGGGATAAGACAGATTTGTATAAATCTGGGAAGAAACACATTCCTACTGATATTTTTAACTCTCAACTTGTTAGTATTCATCATTTATATTACTCACATTTTGTATCTTGTAAAGGAAGAACTGAGAAAGGTAATGTTAAAACGGTATGTACTACCTAACAACAAAATACAATTTAGATTATATTCAGCAAATCATCTAATGAGCGGTAATCAATGGATCCTGACATACAAAGAAGAAACCATGATCCATAAGGAAGGGAAAAAATGAAATTATCTCACAGAAAAGCTTAGTAGCAAACTGGATCCTGCATAAAGAAATAGGCTGCTGAAGACGGAAACAGATCAATAGATATTACTGATCTCAGCAACACAGACAGGAATGTTTCAGGTTATTCCACCATCTGTGAGACAGTAATTAGCAAACTCTTAACTGAACTCATAGAGAAAGGATAAGAGAGCAGAGAGTGTTAGTAGTCTGTTAAACTCCACCTCCACAGTTACTTGGAAGCGGCCAGGTATGCTCCTCCCCACAGTTACCTGGCAACAGCCAGGTAGGCCTGCCCACTATAAAAGGAGCTGTTTGCCCCCTCCTCTCTCTCTTACTCTTGGCCCCTCGACCCTGCACCTGCAGGTTGTTGTCTCCCCTACCCCCTTCCATTCTCCCTCTCTCCACGTGGTCATGGCCGGCCTCTCCTCTTCTACTCTTCTCTCTCTCCTCTCGCTCTCCCACTCTCTTAATAAACCTCCCCTCGTGGAACCCTTTGGTCTGCTGTGATCTGTCCAAGCTGCGCGCAAAAACCTTTTAGAGAGTACATGGATAAAAGTCAGCTTTCAGATTCATAAACATCAATGAAACTAAAACAGACTAAATACAAAGAACATCACTGCAGTGTGCAGAGAAATGCCTGTGCCACATCACCAATGGATGCCTGTGTTCTAACTCATCAAACCATGAAACCCATACACAGAAAAGTGCATTTTCCAATGCAAGTAAACAAAGGTTAAAAAGGAAGAGCAATTGCTCTGGGATCCAGGAGTGGGTACAATATAATCACAAAGTCCCCTATATGAGGGAAAAGCAAAGTGAGGGGAGAGAGTCAGAGAGAAGACATAAGAACACAGAGCAAAGAATGCAAAAAAAGCACAATGCCCCCTTTCTCTACAGAACCTTAGACTGCTTTATAAATGCATACAAAACACCATCATGTGGTCTAAAGCCACTGTTTGTGGGACAGCCTATAAGTTTACAGAGTCATTGAGAGACGGAGTCCCTGCCATCCAAACCCACAGATGACCCCAACATGCTCCAAAGGACTGTTCCAATCTAATGGTCACACAGATGGCCTGGTTGAGCTAAATGGCTCACAAGACAAACCAAAGGTTACAATGATGTAAAGGGAATGGGTAGAATTGGGAAGTGGGTTTGATAGAGATAGGGATGGAAGGGAGGTAAGATGCAGGTGTGAGGACGACTAATCCAAAAAGTGTATCATCTACATATGTGAAATTGGCTATGAAGAAGGCTACTGTAAAGGCAGATTAAACCAGACAGTGTGCA